AAAAACGAGATAAAAAAGGGAGATAAAAAACCGGATACCGAAGCAGAGCGGCAACGGCAACGGGGACGGCTGCTGACCCCGCCATTGCAAAGTTTGCAAGAAAATACAAAGCGCGGTGGCAAAAATTAACGCCACTTGGACGCCAAAAATTTTGTCGTGCCGCAAAAAAGAAATGAGTAACAACAAAAAGAAAGGAAAAAAGACAATGCCAAGGGGCGCAGTCAGAGCGCCAGAGATTATTATGTCAAGTCACGTTTATGAGCGTAATTTCGACAGCGCGCTGGAAAGGAGAGGCGGATAGAACCAATGCACAACGACTCGGTCCGATCCGGCATCTATTGCCAGCTCCCCTATCCACCCACCTCTCCTTCGGCCGGATGACGCTTGTTAGGGCAAAGCGCGACATTGCAGCAGTTAAGTCGCAGCCTGCGGCCAGTCAATAAACCGTTAAAAATACACCAACAACAACAAGAACACCCAGACCAAGTCATAAATGACATTGAACGCGATGCGGAGAACCGAATGGACAGACAGGCAGACAGTCAGACAGTCAGATGGACGGACAGACGAGCGAAAGCATGAAAGGCGCAGGATTTCGCGATATGAATATGAGGCAAGCATGATGTCCCCAACCCACCGATGCTCGCATACTCTTTTCAAACTCAACGATACTCAACTTCTCATTTTATACAATCTATAATAAGTATTTTTGTATCTAGTCTCGTACAGATTCATGTTCTATGGAAAAATATCGGTCTATTCTAGATTCATAAAACTGTGTTTTTGAGCTTTTTTAACAAAAATTATTGTATGCATTTTTGTAATGCGCAAGCAAAACTGGAAGGAAATAAAATTACTTTAACAATATCTGCATGTTTTTTAAGTCCAGCTCACAATACGACAATATATAGTATATGGACACGAAAAAGCTGTACTCAAGATATTGAAAGATTTAATTCAATTATTGAACAATTTTCCAATTTTGTAGCTATACGTTCTTGGACACAAAAGAATTCCGTTTTAAGCACAACTTTTCAATATCGAAAATCTCTACCTTATGACAAAATGTTTTCAAATTAATATTCGTATTATTTTTCCAATAATGATGATCAGATTTTGGGTCGAAGTATTGCATCAAACTCTTGTTCTTTGGGCTCAGGAGCATCTGGATACCAAGTTTAATTATTCTAGCTCTTATACTTTCTGAGATCCTTGCGTTCGTAAAGACAGACGGACACACGGACATTGCTATATCGACTCGCCTTGTCATCCTGATCAAAAATATATATACTTTGTGGGGTCTGCCACGCCTCCTTCTGTGTGTTCCATGTACACTCGCACAAAACTAATATACCCTTTTACCCCTTGGGTACAGGGTACAAAAGTTAATTCCTTTTGAATCTTTAGTTATATTTTTTCGTAAGTGTATCAGAAACGGAAACGCAATTATTTCATATGATTGCTTAGTTTTATTTTTTAATAAAATAAACTTGAGTAATCTACTGAAAAACTCAGTAGAAATTTGGTCGTCTTAATGAGAACACTTTTGTTCCATTCGGCGCTTGTGTGGGTTGCAAGCATCCTTTTTTCTGTGTCAGGAAAATCAATATCGGTAAGCTTAGAAATTGTATTAAAAAGATGAGTGATTGTTATTATTCTAAAGAAATATGTTTAACAATTAGTTAAAAGTTATTGCCCAAAAGACCCTGGGCTATTTGACTTATTTTATTGCAATCAGACAAAAGAAATACTACTTTCCAAAACAACATCCCATTCCAAGAGTGGAAAGGACATAAAAATACACCTGCAATGTTCGCCATTATAAAAATTCAGTTTCTTAAATACCAATTGCATATGTAGAAGTTATGTTACGATAACTGATTCGATTTATTGATTGCATTATATTTTAGGACAATAATGCTTCCGTTGTACCGAAACTTGAACCATTTGACTTCACACCGGTCAGGTAAAAATGTAAATCGGCGTAATCTTGAAAACAATACATAATTTTCTAGGTTGAAAATCGAGCTTGATGGACTGTATTCCCAAGCAGTAGAGTACATTGCAGCCAATAATAAAAATGATTATCTAGAAGAAGTCAGCATAGCAGACATTGTTCTACAGCTTCTGGAAACGAATGCAGGTGGTTCGCAAAAAAACTATTCATCGTCTTGTCCAAGTTTATCCAGTGCAGATGGAATTCAGACAATTCAAGTATCCAGCTTAAATCCTTTTGAGGTCGCTTGGGATACCAAAATAGCGGGCGTAGGCTGGATTGTCATTCAACGGCGCATTCATGGAAACGTCAATTTCTTTTGAAGCTGAGGAGAGCCAAGACTTCGCCTTGCTACAGGTAGGAGGGTATTCGGGCGATGCAGGAGATTTATCAATAAATCCCTGGAGAAGCAAGTTTCCAACATTCGATAAGGATAATGCTGAAACGACTATCAATATGGCTTTGAACCATGTTGGTCCTTGTTGGCACACATCTTCAATATTTTGGTAGTATTTTGGAAACAGTCGTAATACACATTTCAGTTAAAATTATTTTCTTTTAATATTCGAGCTCCTTAAATGGCATTTATTTGAATGGCCCATTGAGTGACGACCTTAGCGAAAAAGGCATATACTGGCATTTTATAAAACTGCAGTAATGATGATTCGACCAAAATGCCGCTTAGCATACCCAATCATACGCATACCCAAAAATAATATTTAAAGGAACATTAACACTTTTAATAGTTTTTACTGGAAAATTACAATTTTTTATAATGTGTTCTTTAAAATATTATTTTTGTATACGAAATCTGAAATCGGAACGAAAGTTTATATATACTGTCGTATAAATTTCATATTGTTTGGGTATGAAATTATTTGCTCATTATCGCTTATATCTAGTATATAGGCATAAATGAATTAAACATTTTATTGCTTATAATAAAAAAAACACCAAAATCAATAATATTGTATATATTCAATACAATTACGATGTGTTTGTCAACCGACTTTTGTAGAGTATTAAACATAGGAATTCAGCCGCAAGGTGTGCGCGCAAACGTTTCAAGAATTTTACTCAAACAGCAGAAGTCGAAGGAGAGACGTACAGATTAGCCGCATCGGTGGCACGGACTTGACTGTGGCTGTGGCTGTGGCAGTCCTAAGCATGCTACGTTTCGTTGCCTTTTCAAGCGGAAGTGTGTCCGTTAAAGCAAAATCGCGACGGTAGGTCGGTGTGTTGGCCGACAGTTGGTGATTATGCGTAATTTGGGTGATAATCAGAAAGAGAGCCGCTTCACTCCGTTCTGGCATATGATGCGCAGCTGCTTATTAACTTTTGTAGTCGAGATATTGTTGCTGCACTTACAAAACACAATTTATTTTATTGAGTCAACAGCCCAAGACATTTCATCTTTTCGCACTGAGCTTGAAACTGTAATTTGTTTACGAAAGGTAACGTCAATATAAAATCTAATTCTTATCTTGCTCAACTTATAAATTCGTATTTTAATGAGTATATAATTAAGACGAACTGGAACTGGCTCTTGTTTAAAGTCTATGACTAATTGGTGCTCAAATGCCATTACAATTGATGAGTCATTGCCTAATCTTATGGCGTAGTAACTAGTTCAACAAGAAGTGTAATAAGAAAATAAAGTTGTTGGTCTGAAGTTTAGAGAGAGGGAGAGAGAAGTTCATAATAGTTTTGCATTTAACTTATAGTATATTTTTATATATATAGATAGCCGGCGTTTTTTCCTTTTGTAGGTGCTGCTATCCGACAACGTTCTTTTCCCACAAGTCACTTGCTGCGACTGATACAAGGACCTAAGTAGAGGAGAAAAGGCGCCTACCTTTGCTCGCTCGTTTATTCGGCGATTTGCAAAACTCAAGGTCGGATATTAAGTTTTTACCCCGAAACTCGTATGAGTTATTTGTGCAATCAGTACGATAAATCGTGGTTAGAAGTAGGAATAATCATTGTTAACACAAGTACTTCAAAGGCTGTTTTGTACTCTTTACCTACATAGTCAAAATTTGTACTATAATTGACAAAGATTTATATACTTATATATATTTATGCATTTTAATTTATTTATGAAAATTACAATATTTTAATAAAAACTTCAGAACAGTAAACAAATGTATATCTCTAAAGAAATAATAAGTATTTCAGTTAAGGACCTACAAACTCGTACTTCACATAGTACTGCCACTCGACTGCTTCCTTAGCTGTGTAAGGCTATTTCATAGGATTTACGATATAATGTTCGGTGTCGGTAGTACAGTAGGGCAACAGGCGTTCACAAGCATGCAGTGTTGACTATTTTTATAATTGCACGATGATATTACGTTGATTTGTGGAATCTGTTTTATATTTTCTATGTTATCTATGTTCTATTTTCGATGTTCTATGTTCTATGTTATCCCACTCTATTTTATCTATGCTTTATGTTATCTATGTTTTATGTTTGCAATATTTTCTATGTTCTATATTCCATGTTTTATTACTCATGTGTTCTATGTTTTCAGGGTATCTCACGTTATATTTGTGAAAAGTGGCTGACTGCTTGCTCACTTGTACATCTGTATAAAGTTTTATACTGCATGTCATGATAAAGCAGTTCAAAGCTTTGTGTTTGGATTCAGGGTGTCTTTTGAGCTGTTATTGCAAATGCTTTTGAAAAGCTCCCGAAAGCCATCGGTAGTACAGTGCATCAGTGTACATATCCTGAAGCTTAAAAAGGTATGATGGTGCATGAAATTCCCACGTTTGTATTTTACACTCGAAAAAATCACTAGCCTGACGACAAGATAAGTCGACAATGGACGACAGAGCCACAAAATTTGGTGTACAGAATAGTATACTCGTAGATCAATTATAGCCAAGCTAAGCTTGCGAGATAACTAACATTTTAATTTATTTATTCAATAAACATGAAAGGCAGTTGAATAATTTGATCAAAATTGGGTGAGATTTAAAAAAAAATTACACATTTATTTTAGGAAAGACACTGATGCTGCCAGCAGAGTCGAGGTACGGCAATTATTCCAAAATAGCACAACTCTATGAGGCTTATTAGGGAGCAGCCTAGACAGAGCTGGCAAATGCTGCCAAAAGAGACTGCAACTATGGATAAAGAAAGAAAGTTCCACCTGGTAAATGCCATCCACTTACCCAATAAGTCTACCCAGGTATAAATCAGACCGGTTTTATAGATCAGCATTTCATCGCGATTATAATATATATTGAAGGTAATAGCTTTTGTTGTATTCGAAAACTGCCATGGCATCAGGACGCTTTTACGCAAGTCGGTTAGCAGTTCAAGGGAATGGCAATTGTGCATGCATTCGCAGACCATTCCCGGCCTGGAGCTGTGCACATACGGACGCTCCCCCACCTCCTCATAGTTTTGCAGCACGCCGTTGTGCGCTGCAAGACACGGCAGGTCGACTAGTCGGCAGGGCGGATAATTGGATGGTGGATAGAAGAGGTCAAGCGTACAGTTACAGTAACGCAGCATATACAACTGATAACACTCTGCTATGCAATTTTCCAACATATACTTGTGACCAAGCAACGTCCTAAATTCAGGACTATTCCGCTCGTAATCGCGTATACAGCGCCTCCAATGAATGGGTAGATCGAAAGTGTTTTCATCGAAATAATGGAGGACTGCACTAACTCCAATGTTGGTGCGCGTGGTTGACTCTGGTAAAAGCTCTATGGGATATCCAGACCATACAGAAGATTGCAAAATGTTTAACTGAAAGTTTTAGACCCAATAATTAATTTATATTTCAATGGGTGCATCCAGCATGCCGTAGCGATTTGTGATTTTTGATTATCGATTGTCGATTTGCCTCTGCCGACCGCTTGTAATGATTGTTTTAGGAAAATATTCTGATTTTAGTATTTTTGGTCAAAACAGTTACAACTTGCTGGGGTGCATTTTGCCATTTTATATATTTCCTCAAAGGACTCGACAAAATTCTGACTATGTATCAGATTTTGTGTTTTGTAATTTCGATTGACATTTTTACTTATCCGAATAACAAATCACAGCGGTCAGCAGGTAAGATCAACCAATGTAATTCGAAAATATTGGAATTATCGATATTGGAATTATCCTCATGATGTTAGATAATGTGAAAGTACTGAGTTATTTAGCAGACGAGTTTTCAACCACACCAGCTGTCAGATCAATAATATAAAGCTATAACACAGACGGACATATTTATCACAAGAGCAGACCGATATAGTTTCTAAAGTTATTCTATTTGTCTATGTGTACCTACCACAAACCCTTTGGGGCGGTAATTATTCGGTGCATGGCTTTCTTGGCGCAACAACAGACGTACTATCAAGCCAGTGCCAATCCCAGAATCGCCTATATGTCTCTGCTCGAGCTCGTTAAACGCCAAACACATGCCTTGGGGTTGCCGACGTGGTCGAAACAATTTGCAGCAATCACGTGGTTTCATTTGCCAGATGCACTCCAGCATTATCTCATCGCAGCGCCAGGCCAGCTCGCTGACAATTTCCGTAAAGTTCAGGTGATTTAGTGAATGCAAAGTATCGTTGGACAATTTGTCGAATACGTGAAAGTGTCGAAAACTCAGAGCATCGTAGGCTGTGAGGACACGCTCAAACAACGGCTGATGAGCGCCAGTTATGTTGTATTTCTGGCTAATTTCCTTTAGACGCGACCAGTTAAGACGATTCTTGTTGCACACGATGACGACGGGGAAGGCGATGTGATACATGGGGGCATGCGCATTGGCGATAATTGTCCTGAAATGCTTGCGTTGATATCGCTCGGCCAGTAAGTAGCATACAGAAATTAGAACCGTGCCGGCACAAACCAGAGCCAGACACCAGAGCAGGCTATGGACAGATGGACAGCAACTTGAAACGCATCCTATAGACAATCTTTAGACGCTTACCGCATGCGTCGACGCATTGTGGGCAGAAGAAGTTGATTCAATCCATGTATGTGCAGTCTCTTGGTGTAGCTATGAAGTAATTGTAGCCAAGCGGTGAAGCCATCTGGACGCTGGCACTCGCGCCATTTGACAACTGGCAGGCGTGTGCGCCTTGCCTGGCCGTTCTTCGTCCTCATTTCTGTGCCACTGCTTGTAGCTTCCACCCTTTTTATAGCTCCACATGCAAATCTAATTTTGTTTGATTTTTGCACATTAGATTTTATCGTTGCTATTTGATTTCTGATTGAATTCCATTCAATTTGTTAGCCCAATTAGCCTGACACGCCATTTGTGCAGCTTATCAACTTGTAGGTAGTCCCTGGGGTCCAATGCCATCGATTGGATTGGCCATACCAACATCTATAGCTTTAGACTCTGCGCACTTAATTTGTGTTAAGATTGTTAGCAGTTTGTGTCGTCAATTGAGTCTTTTCGACTATTGGCTCGTAATTATAGGCGGCTAAAATTAAGCCATGGACATACCTAGCTTTATTTATTACAAATAGAAAATACTTAGTTGATTGAAGCACCTTCTGCATATTCGGACCGAAAGAAAATGCTTTTGGTACGTTGGAAGGTATAGAGGACCTCCATAAACATACATATGTAGATAAAGAGAAGGGCTTTTAACGAGCAATTATTAGTGCAATTTATATGATAAAACACCACTACTTCAAATTATTTGTAAAAACTAATTTATTTTGTGTAAACGCAGCCCCAAAGGCTTGCTGCCCCAACCAGATATAAAAGCAGTCCTCTAGCACGGAAAGCGGTTAGTCATTTCTGCCCTACGAAGCCATGACACTGTTCTATACAGCGACCGCGCCACAAAAGCAACTGTCTATATGGAAGTTGCAACCAAGTCGGTATTTTACGCAGCTAGGCCGGAGCGGATGGCAGCTGGCACTTCGTTTTGGGAAGCGTACGACAATTCATGGATTAGATCGACTACTGGCCACGGGCGCCACTCGTTGGGAGCGTTTTATTTGGCTGTGCACATTCATAAGTGCTTTTCTGGGTGCAGTTTATGTGTGCTTGATACTCTCAAAGCGCTACAACGAGGGCCACTTTCAAACAGTGGTGGACAGCACTCGCTATCCCGTTTATCGAATACCCTTTCCCGTTATCACCATTTGCAATCGGAACAGCTTGAACTGGCAACGTTTGCCGGAAGCCAAGCGGATCTTTATGAACAAGACTACCGATCCAGCTGAGCTCGCTTTGTTCGAGCAGATTCTGAGTAGCTACGATAGCATTTTTTTCGGCGGTTTTGAGGCCTTTGCGAGACTGCGGAATCAGCCACTGCAGCAGATGAGTCATATCAACTTTAGTTTAGTCGTCGACTTTATGACTTGGCGATGCGATGAGCTCTTGACAAACTGCGTTTGGCGACACACCAATTACAATTGTTGCGAAATATTCTCCAAAAGACGCAGCAAGCACGGACTCTGCTGGGCCTTTAATTCGCTTGAGACGGCTGAGGGGAAACGTATGCAACTATTGGATCCAATGTGGCCTTGGCATACAGGGAGTGCAGGACCTATGAGCGCGCTGACTATTCGAGTATTGATACATCCAGAGAAACATTGGCCGGGCAGGAAGAATGAGAAGGGCATAAGCGTTATGGTAACTGAGCCAAACGTGTGGCATAAGAATCCATTTCTAATACCCGCATACACTCAAACAATGTTGGAGTTGGAACCAATTATTTATTTTTATGACAATGATACGCGAGGCGTAAGTTCCGACCAGCGAGAGTGTGTCTTCGAAGTAAGCTAATTAATTAGAATTTCATTTAGAATAGACAAACTAACGTCCTTTTTGGAAAGCACAGAACGAGCGACACAGTCGCGATTTCAAATCATTGGAGGGATACATCTATATGATTGAAAATTGTCAATCCGAGTGCCATCAAGAATACTTAGTGCGTTACTGTAATTGCACGATGGATTTGTTCTTTCCGCCGGGTAAGCACGTTTTCAGAACCGCACAAACACTCTAAACACAAAAGCTTGCCCTCTGCAGGCAAATATCGCTCATGCCGCGCCCAGGATTTGCCCTGCCTAGGCGAACATAACAGTGAGTATTAAGCAAGCATGGCATCTTTGATGGTTTGGTGGTCTAGTCCTGGTTCCCTCTGTCACAGACATCTTTCGCTACTCCCATCAACCTGGCGAGGAACGGTTTGTGCACAGCTACCACGATGGCATGGTTTGCAAGTGCTTTCGCAACTGCTATTCACTGAACTACATCTGCGACGTGCGACCCTCCTTTCTACCGCCGGAGGTATACGGTAATGTGTCATATGTTGATGTGGATGCCCATTACCGCTTCGAGACACTTATGGTCTATCGTACCAGTTTGGTGATTGGTTGGGTCGATTTGATCGGTAAGTAAGCACATGCCCAATCGACACTATATCTAACTCAACTGCTCCACAGTTAGCTTTGGCGGAATCGCCGGCCTTTTTCTAGGCTGTTCGCTCATTAGCGGCATGGAACTCGCTTACTTTCTGTGCATCGAAGTGCCGGCATTTGCTTTGCAGGGTCTACGACTGAAGTGGCGCGCTAGACGCGTGAACAATCAAGCAACAATGTCCCCTTCAATACCCACACTAAATATACAGAGCGACCTGTCTACTCAACTGGAGCAATACATCATGCAAAGGCACACCAAGAAGTTAGGCAAGTCACAACGTCAAAACCTGGCCCAAAAATTTCACATTGGCAAATGAATAATGTATGCAAACAAAAACTATGCTTTAAAAGCAGTTACTGTTGAATCCATCGTTTCATAAAACAGAACCGTTCTTTTATTAAGATATCGTAGAGATTGACAGAGATTTTGTAAATAAAATGTTTTATAGTTAGTTAATTAAATGTCATTTGGAACCATGCACAATGTCAGGTCGTTCTGTGCGCAACCATATTTGTTAATAACTGAGAAGGACTACTCACTTATCGATTTGTTACACAAAACGCTTTTTTAGCAATTGCTTCTGTTGTCCCGTTAGGATATTAAACTGTTCTATATGGTCCTTAGAGCACTGACCATATAAATATGTTCTACTTTACTTGTTTAATGAACGGTTTGCACGTAAACTGCGAACTTAAAGCCCTGTGCACACGTGAAAACGTTATTCTACAAACTTGTTTATTTTTTCCAATTCAAACAAATACAATAAAAACGTGCATTTCTCAATTCTGAACAATCACAGCTCTAATGAAATCGTTATTTAAATAATCATCTCACAACGAAGGGAAATCTTTTCAAATTCTCTGCAAACTTTGAACATGAAAATGGAACCAAAGTTTGGAATCTAATATAAATTTAAATTTAATGTAACCAGGGTATAATCGAGGCACAACGCAAGCTATTGAAGACACACTCATCGACCATAAAAGCAGAACTAAAAATCCAGTAGTAAATCAGTTTACGGCTTTATCCGATCTACCTGACAATTACCACTCGCTTTGGCCAAAGCCCGATAATTCACGGACTAAGTGATGATTATTGTTCCTTTTGTGTATCTCACTGCCGACTAGACAACATGAGATTCGTATTTACTCCAACCCCGAATATCCGACGAAATGTGAGTAGCCAGATGGAGCTTCACACCTCTAAGGTGAAATTTAAAAGCAATGTCAAGAGCTCCCCAGTAAACAGGCTATTACCAAATGAATAATGTACAGGAATAAAATATATATTTGAACGAAATTGGCGTTGATTACGGGAGCCTAAGTGGTTGGCTACTTGGTAGCCGCAGCCATAGCCGCAGCTGGCAGCCTAACAAACAAATTGTGCTCATTTTTCAGGCTCGCAATTTGTCGCAGCCAACCCACAACCAGACGGCCTACAACCCTACACGACCTGACTGTCTGCATGTCTGCGTGTCTGCATCTCCCTCGGCATATCCGAGTGACTGAGTATTTGCCTGGCTCTCAACCGCACGGGGTACGTTGACAGCTTCATTGCCAGACATTGTTAATCAAAATTGAGGTTAAGTCGTGCTCCCAAGTGCCTTGGCGCTGGCTGTGGCAACTTTTGCAGTTTATTGAGACATTTACTTGACTCTCTGGCATAGACCAGCCCTTAGCAATTAAGCACATTTCATAGTTTGTTTGTTTGGCTTTCTATATTGAAGTTGGCCTAGGTCAGGCGACCAGAAACTCCCTTGGGAAGCTACAAGTATAAGGGGCACTAAATTAAATATAATGCGCTGTACAATACGCCAACAGAACAAGTGTGCCATTTTATTAATACATGCGATGTGCAGACTTTAAACATAGACCACGAATAGATATATAATAGATTAGAAAAATTGGAAATAAAGAAAGAAACAACGTTACCAAATATATAACAACAAACATTACATTATCTTAATTATGTTGAGGTATTTCTAAAAATAATTTACAAATTTGTTATTAATATAGTTATTGGTCAAGCGAGAACATAATTAAATACAAGAATAAATATTCTCATAATGGCACTTTACGATCGCAATCAAATATTTTGTGAGGTTAAGCAGAAGAACCAATATCTTAAAACCATTCGATTGGTATGGATAAAACAAAACTTTTAAATAAAGAAGATCAAATTTCGCAATATGAGCGTTTTTCCACTAACCGTAACTTATTTACAAATATTTGTGCAATAAATCAATGCATTCAATATAAGTAGGGCACGTGAATAAATTAATCCTCAATTTTAAAAATGAACTGATAAATGTACGGCGGATTAGGAAAAACGTCCTGAAAATTCAGTATGCATTTAAATATTTATTAATTTTTTCTTTACCAACGTTTCCATGCACCATTGATAGAGTGCGGCAATGTTAAGCATACGCCCCGATTACGTGTATTTTCAAATATTCCTTCTCCCTGTTACCGCCCACATTGGTTTGTGTAAAAAAAAAACGAAAAAAATTACCTAACCGAGTTGTGAATTTTTAAGAAACCGCAGAGCAATGAGTGCCACATGGCCACATTGTTGACGTTTATTGAAATTCAAAACGTCTGTGTGTGGAAATAACTGTAATTGATTACCAAATTAGTTACGCACGAACAAATATACAGAAATCAAGGGAAGGATTTACTCTATTGAACGAAAAAATATTATCACATTTGATTTGTGTCAGGCGTCGAAATGGATTTACCGAAATGTTCAACAAGGAAGTTCTTTCGAAGCGCCAGCAGAGCACACAATGGCGGCTCTGAACAGCAACATACATGTACGAGTGGTGTTTGTAGTTTGCCAGGCAGTAGGAAAGCCGTGCAGTCAGGTAAGTTAGTTGAGCTTAAATATTTGCGCTGTCATCGCATATTTGGCGTAGTTCCGCGTAGCTTGTCAAATTGTGTTAGCTCGTTACGAGAGAAAATTCAACTCAACGCTCGAAGTTTTCTGTGGGCCTAATAAATGTCAAAACAAGCAACCTCAACTTAGGCAGAAAAGCTGTCGCGACTGTCAGAGTGGCAATATTTTAACATATTCATGACGCGATATGACACGCTGACATGCAAGCAACATGGCGGCAGCATATGCGCCAAAAAGCAGGATACGAGCCTCAAAAGCGTCAAGCGTCACAAGCCAGCATGTGACAGTTTGGCCGTGACAAATGAGTCTTAATTTGATAAAACGCTAATGCTAAGTAATTAAAATATGAAATTGGGCAAGCAAGTGTTGGCAAACATGCTGCATCGGGGCCAGCCATATTTATGCCAAGTACAGTTGTCACATAATTGATTTACAGCCAAATTCAAAGTGCATATGGGAGTGTGTGGCAGACACACATCGCCTTAATTGCAAGCACTTGTTAGTTAATTAAAAATGCAAATAAGGCAACGGCCATTGAAAGTTTTCGGAAAGGCCGACACTCACTGCCCCGGGTATCTCATGTGTGCCTGGGCGTATGGCTCGTCTCGCCGGCTGAACGTTAATCGAGCGCGACAGATTTTGTCGGTTTGGCATGCAATTTAAACTTTTGTCGTTGCAGACAAAATGAAATTCTCAACAGACCCAAAACAAGCCATTTCATGATACTTTTAAACAGGGGCGCAGCCGAGATTTATCCTGTAGGATGCAACAGAAATGGGTAGCAATGTGCAAATTGGGAAAACTTGTGCCTAACCAACTCTAACGAAGCAATACTATTAAGCGATAAGATTAAACTAAAGATTGTATTATTTTAAAATAATTGTATTTGCTCAAATATTTATTTACTATAGGCTCTAAATACGGTTTCAATTCCTTATAATATGTATGTATGTAGTTTTCATAGTAACGTTTTATTTATTTATTCTGATAAATAACAACATAACATAAAGCATACGAAATATTCTTTCAGATATTAAATAGTATTACAATCGTTCTTTAAAAAAGTAAATATTTTGAAATTGAAGTAATTTTTTCTTATAATCCAATATTTTAAATCCGATTACAGTTGAAACGATATTGGATAAAAGTTGTATTAGTAAAAATTGCTTATCTTCCTAATCAATTGCTAAGATTCTCACAATCGTTTTACTCGCTTTGTCAAACAGAGCCCCTCTATCGTTTGGCCAATGAATGTGGCCAGTACTTGTTAACGTCCATGTTGGTGCTTGTTGACAGTGTGCTTATCACAGACCATTTTTGCTGTGGCACAGGCAATTACAGCGCTAGATTGAAAACAGGCGACACAGGAGTAGTATATACACCTAAAGAAAACGAGAAACGACTTACTAATGTGGGGAGAAGCGCCAAACTATGCAGTTTGAAGAAAACCCATATAGTATTATTTAAATATTTCAAATTAATGTTGTTTCTAATATTCTTTATTTCATATTACATAAGCTGTTCACTGTTTTTTATTAAACAGCAGCTTAAGCAGGTTCTCTATTTTTGGGTAATTTAATTATTTGCGAATAAACTGCCACTACAAATAAAAACATATGCCTGGACATACTTGTAAGACTAAGAAGCTGAGTTATTTTAACAAACGTCTGCAATCATTTGCTGTATGAAAAACATATTATTTATCAATACCTAACAAGCTATTTGTCCTGTTGACCTCAACAGTGTCTCAGCTTTTACCTGCCAACGGCACCTAGCCCAATTATTTTGCTTCAGTGAAGCTGAAAATATGATACACTGCCACAAAGTATAAGGAAAGACATTTAATAAGCCACACGACACCAAGTGGCATCATCTACATGCAGACACTATTTGCTTGGACAGCCGACATCATGTCCTGAATAATTATGGGACAACCAACACATATGATTTATGATACAGAAGTTGTTGAGAAAAACATTACAAAACTCTACCATTCCATGCTTCAGGGTCACATATTTTTGTTGCTGTGGTAACACATCATCCATCAAAACGTCTCGCCGGAGTTGAACGCGTGTCATGCATTAAGGTAACCAGCAAAAAAATAAATAAATACGAAAAATTCAAACAACATGAAAAAAGCCCAACAGTCTCCCCAAAAAGAAGTCTAGGAAAAAATGATATTGTGTGTGAGTTGGTTGGCTGCTGGTTTCAAAATATTATTAAAAGCACAGCTAGTGTGTGGGCCGTGGGGCCTTTGAAGCACAATTCAATTGTGTCAATATTATTGCATACTTTGTGGCATATTACCCAGAAGCGCATGTAATAAGCAGTCGCCGTCGCAGCACTTTCGCTGATGTCCTCGAGCGCCTTATCGGCTTAAGTTTGAGGATTTATTTGATGAAGTTGCACTTTGATGTCGCA